TGTCTCCTGGTCCAAGTACAGGTTTCACTTGAGCACAATCAATTGTTCCAGGATTCCCATTCTTTTCAAGGGTAGCCACAATTTGTTTTGATCCATGCAGTCAAATGCATTTGCATAGTCAATAAAACATTGTCTTCAGATAGACAAAGAAACAATGTTTTCAGATAGACATTCTTCCGGTACTTTCTGATTTTGGCCAAGATCCATCTGACATTGGCAGTGATGTTCCTAGTGTCATGGCCCCTTCTAAAGCCTGTTGTATGTCTGACAGGTCTCTGTTCATGTACTGTTTTAGTGCTTGCTTGTCTGTCTTTTTCTTTTATGCTTTGTTTTTTGTGTTTTTTTTTCTTTTTACATTTCTCTAAGTTTTTTCTATATCTTACATGTTTTCTTTTATCCAGTGAAAAGATTTGATAATTTTTCTTTCAAATTCCATGGGAGGAAGTTGTATCAACTCTTCCTTCTACAGGAAATCCTATGTCTTGGTTGCTCCTTTGAGGTAAGATCTTGTGTTGTTTTTTTCGTAGAGTTTAAAGTTGTCTGTTTCTTCTGTGAGGAAGTGAGGAGTTTTGGTCTGCTTCTGGGCTGTTGGTGGTGTGGCCTTCAGGCACTCTCTTCATTGCTGAAGGTGAGGCTGCAAGTCGCTGAAGTGGAGGTCACTGGGAAGGAGGCTTCCATCCTTCTAATCACTACAGTGGTCACAGTAGTGGCTCCAGGCTTCCTCCAAATTGCTGTTGGAGTGGCAAGAAAAAAAAAGGACCACTGGCTCGTGGTGGGTGGGGGTGTAACTTTCCTGTCGTCTGCTCACTGCTGTCTTTGACAGAGCAGGCCTCTAGACTCACTCTCCAATTCAATCCATACCTGGCTGGAAGCAGATGTAAAAAACTTTATGGATCTGTTAAAATGAATATAAGCTTTAGAAAAAATCACAGAAATCATAGTTTTATTCTATCACTCAGAATATATCAAAAGTTCTTAAAAATCAATGTACAAGTCCAGGAAAATACACACTCAAGTTGAGGTTGGCATTATTGTTGTTAGGTGTTGTTGAGTAGAATGAAATTTATAGAGACCCTATGAATAATAGATATAAACCGAATAATACTCTATGATGTCTTCATCAACTCTGACACACTTGAGCGCATTGCCACAGTCGCTGTGTCAACCCATCTTGTTGATGGTCTTCCTCTCCTTCAGTGACCCTCCATCTTTCCAAGCATGGTGTTCCATTCCAAGGAAGAGTCCCTCCTAACAACATGACCAAAGTAAGTGAAATGAATATTCACCATCCTTGGCTCCTGGGATGATTCTGGTTGCACTTTCTGCAAGACATACATTTGGTAAAACCACAGAACAATGATTATTTAGAACCAAAGAGAGCCACTGTTTCCTTTAGCTCAAGTTTTTGTAACTTTGCCAGTTTCAGTAAACACTTGTCAGTGTTTAAGGTTAGTGGTTTGTTGATCCTTGAGTTTAAAAATCAGTCAAGGTGACAATTAAAAGTTAGTATAATGGGCTTCCAATTTTCTCTAAAACTCTTTTATTTCTTTTGCAGGGGGCTTTCTGGGGCCTGCTCATTGGACTGGTGATTGGCCTTATTCGTATGATCGCTGAGTTTGCTTATGGGACGGGGAGTTGCACGGCTCCTAGTAACTGCCCCACGATTATCTGTGGAGTGCACTACTTTTATTTCAGCATAATCCTTTTTTGTGTGACCCTCCTGGTTGTCCTGGGAGTCTCCTTGGTGACCAAACCCATTCCTGATGTACACGTGAGTAAGAAGTAATGGAATAATGCTCATTCCCCCCCCCCTCACTTTGTTGTGCACCATCCAATTGGATCCAACTGGCACAGGAGGAAATTGTCCCTCCTCCAACAGAGCCTCTAGTGGATTTGTACCATGCACCTCTGGGATTGCAGTGTAGCTTCTTGCCACTAGGCCACCAGAGCTTCCATAATAATGCTCATTTTTAAGAAGGATTCTTTGCCTCCTAAAACTGCAACTAGTGTTCAAATCTCAAATTGAAAGAGTCATGGCACTAGAGAAAGGCAGAGCTCAAAGGAATGCAAGTGAATAAATAGCACCAGGATTTACACCAACAACAAGAAGTACCGAGTACATATGAAACTCTTATTATTTTAAAAAATGAGACATTAATTAAGTTCATTTAACTTAATTAATTAAAAAACAAAAGCCATACAGTTGGGAAGTTATTTACATCATTATATAGGATTCTGAGAAGAGGGTAATTAGTAGAGCCTCATACACTGGACAAGCCTTCATAGCACAGCTGCCATCTGTAGTAGACCTGTCTGGGGCTCTAGGGTTTCGCATTCAGCATAAACACTGGTACAGAGATGGAAAAGCACATGGTACCAATGAATGAAAATAATAGAATAGCTCCTATAACTGTCCCATGATTATCTGTGGAGGGCACTACTTTCATTTCAACATGATCCATGAACAAAAGATCTGAACCCTGTTCTAGAACTATTGTCATTTCTTTGATGTTCATAGAGTTTCCAAAGGTCTGCTGTTTAACAAGTAGATACCACTCCTGCTTCCAAGCATGTCTTAATCTGGGAGCTCTACCAAACCCTACCCACCATAGGTAACCATTATGGCATTTGACACACCAGTGGTATAGCCTTAAGTATCACAGCAGCCCAAGTTATCTCAGTACAGCAAACTGGCATACAAGTGCTGTACCACTTAGAACAATGTTTTTTCCCAACCCAAACACACTTAACACCAGGCCTGAGTACCACAGGCCCTTGGGCACAAAAAACTTTTAAATTCAAAGGCCCAACCACCAGGTCCTGCTTGACTCAAAAAAGAAGCTTCCAGCAGCCTACACATGATTGTGAAAAAAATGTAAAATAAGACCAAACAGTTTACACCAGACTTTCAACAAAATGAAGAGAATCTGCCCTCCAGAATACAACTGCTTCATGCATGAGCAGCCAAACTGGAGACATGGTCATGGCCCAAACAACTTTTAAATAGTGAGATATATACTTTAAAAAATTTAAGATAGGCAAAAACCTTTCAATTACTTCATTGAACAAGAACAACAACAACAACAACAAAAACCAATTTCCAGTGTTGTTAAGGATGTGAGCAAATGCCTCACACTGTTGAAGATTTTGAGAATGTGTATAATTTGTAAAAGAACAAGTTAGCAACACTTCTCTATTCTGAATTTTCCTGCTCTGTAGATCAACAATCTAATTTCTATGCATCTACTATGCCAACATTCTAATGCAAGTTGGGATATATAAGTGTGTATGTATGAATTTTCAAAACAATGTATACAAACTTTGTAAGTAAATCAGTATAAAATAAAAATTTTATTAAAAAAAACCAAAAAGGCAATAGAATGAGGAGGATAAGAAGAAGCAGAAGGTGGAGGAGGAAAAGAAGGAGGAGGCAGAAGAAAGGAAGAAGCAACGGAATGAAGATTACATCAATTTTCGTTACTATAGAAATAGCTACACACATAATTTTAAACAGAATATTTTGTAGCTACTCAAAAGCAAGGAGTTCTCAGACTGAATTTTTAAAAGTCTATGATACAATTAAGTTTTTAAAAAAGCTTGAAGAATAATAGAATAAAAAAGCAAACAAGTCTGTCTTGGAAGGAGTGAATCCAGAGTGCTCCTTGAAAGCAAAGATGGTGAAACTCAGTCTCACATATTTTTGGCATGTTATCAGAAAAGACAAGTGTCTACAAAAGGCCATCAGTTTTGGAAGAGTAGAGTGTCAGTGAAAAAAAAAAAGGAAGACTTTCAAATATATATATTGACACAGTGACTAGAACCATGAGTTTAAGCAAAGTACAGAATTTGAAGGTGGCACAGGCTTGGGCGGAGTTTTACTCTGTTGTGCCTCAGGCCGCTATGAGTGGGAGCCTCAGAGGCACTCAACAACAATAGTACAGTAAAACTGGTGAAAAAAAAATTTTGTATCAGGCATATACCTATGGAGAGGGAAAACCTCTTATAGTTTCCACTGTTAGAGCTATGTTGTTGCTATGTG